GAATGAGGTTTCTTTACTTCCCAAGTTCCCCTAATAAATCCAAAGTACATGGATAGCTTATTTACATACACCCTATCTACTCTACGAGGGATCTGTCTCCAAGATATAAAGGGAAAATTAAATGTATTGGTTGCCTGCATTGGTCAATTAAGAATCCACTACCAGTGAAAACCAACTCTGAACTACTAGCATGAACCCATGGGGAAATAGGATTTGAACCAATAAAAGCTGGATTTGTGCAACTTTCCCATGATGTACAGCCAGGTCCCCCTGTACTCAAGTGATTCCCACACCTCTTTCACTCTTGAGGCAAAAAGACGAACTCTGGGCACCCAAGAGTCACATCCTGGCCAAAACAAGCACTGAACTGTGTAGTAAGACACACTTAGCTCTCTCCTTTCACAGTCTGGTTTATCTGACCTCGCTTCCTCTTTTCCTCCATCCCACAGTCATGCGGGAGCTCTCAGTTGTCTTCAGAGGAAATGGCTCACGCAGAAATGAAAATGTGGGAAAGGTATCTATAAGCTAAAACCTTGAACTTAGTTCTGCGCCACATTTACTAAAGGACAACTGTTTCTCCAGGAGAATTAGCAATGTACTTCAAATATTTAAAGAGCGTTTGTATGAAGTTGCTTTACTACTGTATATAATTCTGGAAGACAAAACCAGGCGCCAGCGGGAAGAAGTCACAGCCAAAAAGAAAATTAACAAGCTGAATCTCTTCCCAAATATAAAAATGTTTCCTCTGTCTGGTAGTGAGCTCCCTGTGATTGGACATGTTCAAACAAATCTGAAAAAAAAATGTCTTAGGAGGATGAACAAGACTGCCAGTGTGGCTTAGGGAGAGGTAGGACTAAAACAATCTTAATCCTAAGGAATCACTGACTCTGTGATAAACAGTACAACATGAGTAATTTTCCCTAAGTGAGACACACAGCTGGATTCATCCCTGTGAAAAAGCAGGCTGGCCAAGGATGAATCCAAAAGAAAAAAGACAGAAGATACACCCATGCCTGGAGCACTGCACAGAATGATGCTGTCCTAGATTGGGACATGCCTAGGACCAAAATGTCTAAGGCTTTCAGAATATGAACTCTGACGATTATTTCTGAAATTTTGCTTTGGTCTCATTGGAGAAGAATTAATCAAAAAGAAAGATGGACAAGAAGGACAGAAAATTGATTGATCTAGCTACTGTAAAATGTAGCAACACTTCTTGTAAAACCGTGTTATTGCTGGACCTAGGGTCACCACCACAGAAGTCTGTGAATTCCTAGCATTTAAAATGTTAATTGCAACCTAACGTTCACATATGAATTTCAAGGCTATTCTAGCACTCAACTGACCACAGCATTCAGCATCAAGAGGGTTGTTCCAACCATGTCAGTGTTGCTATTCCTGCATTTTCTTTTTGGGAACCCTCTATATAAAATCAAAGGCAAGAAGAAGAAAAAAAAGCAGCCATGCAATTTACTAGAGTACACAAAAGCCAGGATCTCTTCAGTGACTGTATTCCCTGCAATTCACTCAGTTGCTTTTCTTTTTTTTGAGAAGGGTAATGGTCAAAAATAACTCCAAATTCACATCGCCAGTGTTTCCCACAAAGCCATTTCACATAGTCCCAACCCACCAAAGTGCCTCTACTCTGGCACATATGTCACCCACCACACACACCCAAGATTAAAGAACAGACAAGGCCCAAGAACTCAAACCACATCAGCACTTGCTTCGTTGTCTCACTGACGTTAACTTGGAATGAAATGTGACACAAGCTTGTGAAAACTTACAGAGTGCTATGGCTTGGGTGCAGTTTGTTCCCAAGAGTCCAAGTATTCGGGGTGGTGCTATTAACAGGTAATGAAACCATTAAGGGATGGGGCTGAATAGGAGGTCACAAGGTCATGGGGTGCTGATCTCAGAAGAGTAAGGCTGTTATCATGAGATTCTGGTCAGTTCCCACTGGAGAGGGTTTTGATTTAAAAAGAAATAGGATGGCCTGGTTTCTGATTCTTGTCTTGCCACGTACTGCCTCCGCCTCACACACTGGCAAACACAATACCATCTGCCATGGGGTGACACAGCCAGGGAGGCCCATGCTAGAGCTGGCACTCTGCTCTCTGCATGTTCTGCCTTAGGTATTTCACTCCAGCAGCTAAACAGAGTCTGTAAGTATCTCACACAAAATGCTTTTAAATCGATTGGTCATTAAGAAAGAGAAATAGTAATTTTAAAGAAGAGAAATCTGCAGCCACCATCCTAGCCATGAGATCCAAGATAGCGCCTTCCATAAAGAGATGACCTCATGCCCTGTGCCACTGACAGGACACCAAAAGGAGGACCTCTCTTGTCTGTGTTCATGTTAAAAATGTTGTTACCAAACAGAACCTAAGCAGGAGAAAATGGATAAACTTAACCTGACACACAGTCTACAAAGTGACTGGCCTTATACTTTTAAAGATATTTCTAGCTCTTTAAAGAAAAAGAAACAAGAAAAGGCTGAAGGAAGAATTACAGAGTAAACATTACTGCTAACATGTGATCTGAGCCCATAGAAGACACTACTGACAATGTGAAAAGCCTCAGTGACACTACGAATCAAAGTTGGTATCCAGATTTTTGCTACTGCAGTTCTGATTGTGGAATGGAATGACTCTGTCTTTAATAAACATACAATGACACATTTATAGTTGAAAAAGCATGATGCCTATAATTTGCTCCTGAACAGTGAGAAAACATACACACGAGTGTGTGAGCATAAGTGTAAGTGAGCATGTGTCTATGTGTTCAGACAGGCACATAGAAAAAGACTGATCAAGTAAGTGTGACAAAATGTACAACATTAGTATTTGAGGAATCTGGGAAAAGTATTTAGCAATTCTTTATCACATTCTGCAACTTCTCTGTAAATAAGTTTATTATTATTATTATTATTTTAAAAAGAAAAGCTAAGCGAGATGAGTCTAAACTGTGTAAGGAAGAAAACTGGAGAAAGAAGAATGCAGGACTCCACTGTTCACTGCTCCACTCTTCAGCTTCTTCCTTTCTTTTTTGGCCCCAGGAATCAAACTCAGGACCTCACACGTGCCATGCAGTGCTGTGCACTAAGCTATCTCCCCGTTCTTCTCCCTCCCCTTCTGCCCCACTCTTCCCTAGCACTGAGAAACATCATGATGTCCTGAGCTTCCCTGAAAGCCACAGGTGACCCCTTAGAGACCCACTATGCCCATGAGTCTCTGGAGCCTAGCACAGGGCCTGGTAAGACACTCGGGGCTCAAGAAATGGCCAAAGAATTGCTAGACTATAAGAAGGATATGAGAGAAACTGTAGCCAAAGCCCATCTTGTGGCATCCATCTGCAAGGCTGACATACTGTGCCCTCCTCTATAAACGACTGGGTGAAACGGCGGGCAGAAGGCACCAGGTTGGCAGGGACACTACAGCCCAACACAGGATCTTTGTCACTTGGGAGGAAGGGGAACGGAGCACGGGCCCCTGTGCTGTCCTCTGGACTGAGGGAAGAAGGGTACATGTTCCAGGGACTACGTGTCCCAGAGTCCAAAGTCAAGGTCCCTGCTGGCTCATACACACTATTTCATTCACTGAGATAAGAAATGAAAAGCTAGATTTCTAAGGGAACAGTGAGAACAGAAATGGCTACACATCCAATCCTTCATCAGATTCTGGTCTTACTTCCCAAAGCAACAAGTAACTTTGTTTTCCAAACTCACATTGACTTTGCATGTGAGAAGTTGAAATCATTTTAATTGCCGAAGTTCAAGACAGTTAACATGAAAAACCTGGCTTTGCTTTGAACCTGTAACTAATTCAAGATTGACCTACCATATAACTTTTCCAGAAAAATTAAATTCTGAACCCAGATGAAGGGAAAAAAAAAATACAATCTACAGGCCATTGAAGTAGAAGTATTAGGAGATGGTTAGGACCCAAAAGAAATGAGCTTTTTCTAACCACCAAGATACAATTTCATAATAATCAACACTGGGTCATAATATTCCACAGAAAAATTAAACAAGTAAACTATGGCATAGAGGGCAGGACTCCAAAATGCAATCTTGATTTGCACAGTGATTCAGATAGGAGCCTAAGCAATGCAATTTCTCAGGGAATCTCTAGCTGAGGTTGCTGTGCTGGTAGGAACTTTGTTTACCAATTTATTTAAAAATAAGCTCTTCAGGCAAACCAAATCATATTGGCAGAGGGGCAAAAATAACCTAATTAATAAGAAATACACCAGGAACGCACAGAGGAACTGGGGCAAGTTGGCCCAGCGGCCTTTATTCCTCTTGCCACATCTGAAAGACAATTAGATTTCCATCACAAGTCAGTCCCTTGCTCCAAAGTAATTAAGAAGGACAGATATTTAACTGGACTTCAGATTCTCTCTGCCTGCTATAAGAAGTTTGTTCCTCACTGCCCTCGCTTCTCATCTCTCACGCTGTCCAGTCTGGCTCAGATGAGAGGACCTACACCTGTTCTCCAAGGGGTGTACTGTCTGTGTACACCCTAGAGGGCTTAATGCAAAAGGTAGCGGGGAGCTGCCTTCTGCTCTCTATAGCTTCCCCCTATCCTAGACATGCTCTAGTCCTGGCTCTCTATCAGTGCAACGCAGGATCATGAGGATTCATGGTCAGAAAGGTCTGACTGAAGGTTTCTAGAAGAAATCTTTCTACAGAGTTTTGCAAAAGGGTTCTTCCTTCTGTCAGGCTCGGTCCATCTGTCTGCCCAGTTCCCCACCCTGTCACAACTCTCCATAAGCAACCTGCCCCTAAAGCTGCTGCATGACTCCAAGGACTGTGGCAGAACAGTGAAACTCCAGCTCCTGCCTATTTCCGTTAGAGGAAGAAGCAGGTGCACCAGACCTGAGGACATCAGGACAGTCCTAGACATGGGTGCATCACACTGCCCATCAGCTCCTGGCCTGCTGTCACCAATGAAAACTGCGGTTTGTTTCCTGGGGTGCCACCGACTGGTTCTTCTTACCTTTGGTTCCATGGAAATGAAACTGTGGGTTCCTCTGCTGGAGAGAACTGACCTTTTGATCGTCCTGCTGTGGTAGAAGTGGTAGTAGTCCTTCAGGGCCCCTATCTGCAAGGCAAGGAGGGAGGGAAAGCACAAAGGAGAAACATTAATGTCTGAAAACAGCCTGGTATTTTCCCATTTTTCATTAAAATAAGAACACAAAAACACAAGAGGTCCATAAATAATGCAGGTGCCTGCTGTGCTTCACTGCTACTCCAGCCCTGGTGACCACTTTTCAGTAGAAGGGAGGTGACACGAACCCACTGTCCTTGAGGCAGTGGCTGCGGAACTGAAGATTATCATGGGGCAGCTCAGCCTCCCCATCTCCCTTTTAATGTTTAATTTATATGCAGCATTTTAAGTAATTCCATAGCAATCTATATCCAAATGTAGGAAATAGAAAAAATAAATCACATTATTATCTGGTTATAAAAACACACTGCACTTTGTTTGTTCTGAAAAATGTACAGAGAAGGACCTTGTTGGATTATTTATACAGCTTATTTGAAATGCATCTTATGCAGCTGATCATTCACAAAGATAACACTGTTCAGTTTCCTGACTTAATAGATGGTGTAAGTGCACAGCCCTTCCTCACGTACTGCAAAACTAAAAGTGCAGGGGCAATTTCTAAAGCAAAATACATTTCTCTATTAGCTGAGTCCTGTGTAAAAACCATTTGATCACTTTATCCTTTTCTTTAACATTCGAGACTTCTCATTTACGTTCCCTTTTTTCTGAGTTAAAAAAATAGGTCAAGGATAGTTTTGAAAATAAATCCCAGTCCACTTTGAAAAAATAAATGAACAAAATCTCATAAAGAACCATATTCTCTCCGCTGATGATAAAATATGGATCAGGGAATGAACCATACAATGAAGACAGGAGCTTGCTCTGGCTCCAGCTAAGATCACCAGAGCTAAACAGCACATGTGGACTACACCTATTTCCTTTCATATAAAACTGGACTCTGGAGCAGGTAACTCTACTACAGCACCCCATTCCATTCTTTGACACTGAGTCTTTACTTGCTTGGGTAGTAAATGGCTGAGTCTCCAAAACACTCATGGCTCTGCCATAAGAGTGACTGTCATGAGGATGTTTCCAGCTGGTACAATTCAGAAGCTGAGCTTTCTAAATGAAAGGCAAAACATCACTGGACAAGCTTCATTTTTTCCAGATGGACGGTGCACTTCTAATTCCTTCCTTTTCATCACATTGCCCAGTGTCTGTGTCCCTCAGGGGTCATCTCTTCACTGGGACTTCAGGCTATGACTCCAACCTCATCATTAAAATTTTTTTTGTTTTTTGAGAAAGTGACTTTACTGCCTTTAGAGATATACCTGGAAGTGAGATTGCTGGATCATATGGTACAGTTCTAGTTCTAATTTTTTGAGAAATTTTCTTTTTTATTTTAAAGGGAGTAAAACAGAACAGTAAAATGAAACAGTTAATAGGGCAGTAGGAAATTGCTACTATATTGCATAGTTATTCTCTAAATAGTTATCTATCATCATTAAAATTTGAAAGAGTGAAATCCCACACTTTTGGTTTACATGAGAAATATCCAGACTTAACAGAAATCATGGATTCTGGGGTGCGAAGGTGGGAAGTCCCACCTGAAGCCTCCAGCCTCAGGACCCTGACTTCTGAGGTAGCCACAAACAGTGAGGAGGAAGACACAGGTGCCAGCCTCAGCCCCAGGAGCTACAAGCAGGACTTTCTGGCCAATTTTAAGGTTCCAGGGGACTAAGCGTAGACCGCAGCATAATAGTTTACAAAAATATTTTATCCTAAAGGGTTAGAAGTTTTGTATCATATACCTTTTGTCACGTGTTCCTTGGGTAAATACAAAAGCTATGAAAAGAACAGAGATCCTCTGAGGAAGAAAACTGCAGAAAATTTACCATCATCCATGTGAAAAACCAGTGCGTTCAACGTCATGACCACTGAGCTCGAGCACAGCCTCTTTGAACTCAAGGAAATGAATTCCAACTGTGCATGAAACACATCCTGAAGGCTTATTCAGATCCCCATTTACAAGAGCCCCAGTCTAATGAAATATAGAACAAGTGAGATAAAGGAAGCTTCATCCTGACTTAATTGATTTAGGACTTCTGCTAAATCATTCAGTCATTCCAGTAAAGTGAGAAGGACACAGGAGATACAGTGGCCAGTGACGGGGGTCAGAGCAAAGGAGGGCATGAGTGCGGGTTACTGTTGTTAACGAGGTTTGAATGCAGTCATGTGAATGGTCTGGTCAAGTCAGCAGCTGGCACCCAGGAAGTGAGGGAAGGTTTGGGATCCCTCCTAAATTTCAGTGTAATCCCACCTCCTTTCAGTTCTTATTTTCTAATTCTTCTTCCACCTCTATCCCTTGTTTAACATTTCTCTTGCTCTGCACACATATAATCTCTAACTTTTCCAATCTCACTGGTTAAAATCACAAGGGTTGATGATGTGTAATAGGGTAGGATGTGGCCACAAAGGCAGTTTACACGGGCCTGGTAAAAGCTGGGCGTGGTGGTGCACACCTGTAACTCCAGAACTCTACAATGCTGAGGCAGGACAGTTGTAATTTTGAGCCCAAACTGAACAATTCAGGTGGCTGAGTAGGCTCTATTTCAAAACCATAGTGCAGATGTGGCTCTGTGCAAAGACCCTGAGCTGAATCCCCAGTACTAAAAAAGAAAGTAACGGTGAAAAGCACACAAGGGGTAATATCAATAAAACTATAAACTGCATCAAACCTGACTCAGCTGCTCTACTTCTAAACATGTCCTGTGAAGTCTCTGCACAAAGATGGACATTACAGCAAATTTGGTAAAAGTCAGACTGCAAACTACCAACAGGTAATCCATCCTAGATGAATGAAAATGGATTGTGCTCCAAATGCTATGAGTAAAAAAATAAAGATGCAAATCATGTAACACAGAAAGAAAAGGAAGAGTATACATTACGTATGTGCTTAGAGTTGTAAGGCTACCAAAGAAACTGAAGAATAAGCATTTCCTGGTATACGTGCACAGACTAATTTTTGATTTAAAAAACTAGTTAAAATGAAAAAGCATGGTGATGGACGTGGGTCTAGTTTTAGTCTGTGGCATGTGGAAAGCCAGTTTTTCTAGCACCAGTTAGTAAGGAGGCTATCTTTCAAAGAAACTGTTCCCAGGGAAAAAGGAACTAGGACAAGGGAAAGGGAAAGGAAGGAAGGGAAAAGGAAAAATACAAAATACAATACAAGTACATAGTTTTTCCTAGTTCACTGAAAAGGTTTGTGCTTATATCGTTGGTAGAATTTTTCATGCCATATCTTGTACCCTGAGTAACTACTTTGAAGATAGAGTACAACAATACTCAATGTATTAATTATTGTTATTCTATTACTTTATTCTAAAATACTGCTTTTTTTCTGTAAGATAAAAAAGAAAAATGAAAGAACATAAGGAATTGGCTGACGTAGGACAAAAATTCAACCACAGACAAATCCTTGTCCAGGAATACACAGGTTCCCCAAAGTCCCTGTGGCTGACACAGGGTCACAGCCACTCATCCTCCCAAAGCGCTGTACTATTAAGCTCAGACTTCTCTCCGGTCTCTCACTGTTTCCCTATCAAGCTGTGGAATCGACTGGCTAGTGCCTCGATCATTCAATGCCTAGCATGGGTTATGCATCCCATTGCTCTTCCACACGTTATCATATTTAACTTGATCTCCAAGCACCCTGGAAGATCAGGATCAGTAGCTGTAATGTGATAGAGGAGGAGACTGAGCCTCTCGGAGCGCTGAAGTGTACACAGCCAGGATTGATTGCAAAGTGATAACATGTGACTCCTTGGTGAATGTGCACCTGCATCTTGCCGGCACCTGTTCCTGCAGGGTACAGCAGAAATCCTACATCCATGCAGCTGGGATCTAGACACAACTCAGGGAGCTGCAGGAAAATCGGAGGCAGGCTCTTGGAGGCGTTCACATGTTTAGAGGTGGTGGTGGCTGAGGCCTTGGCATCTTTTCCTCACTCTCTGGACACCCTTTTGCACAACCTGTTTTGTTGTTAGCTGGGAAGAGATGGTAGAGCTACTGTGGCAACCTGGGTAGTTACCTCCTTCTCAGCTTTCTGACTGAGGCAGAACTAGGCACTGGGAAGCTACAGCTTCCAAAACATCTCAGAAAGCCCAGCCCCATAGAGCAATGCAAATCCAAACATCTCGGGGAACCTGTCTTACCCCAGAAAGGATGGTCATCAAAAAAATCAAATAACAAACTGTCAAAACTGCGGAAGCCAGGGGTTGAGGGATCCTGCTGTACTGCAGGTGGGAATGTAAACTAGTACAACCACTATGGGAACCAGCATGGGGTTCCTCAAAAGACTCAAACTAGAAATGCCATTCGCCCAGCTGTCTCCCTCTAGGAATGTTCCCAAAGTCATCATATTACAGAGACCCACGCAAATCCATACTTACAGACGCACAATTCGTATTAGCTAAAGCTTGGAAGTGGTTCATCAACAGAAAATGGATAAAGCAAATGTGATATTTTTGTATATAATGGAGTATTATTACTCTGTCATGAAGAATAACTTTGAGTCATTTGAAGGAAAATGGATGCATTTTGAGACTGTAATGTTCAGTGAAATAAACCAGGCACGGGTTTCAATATTGCATGATTTTCTTATAGGAGAAACTCAAAGTAAAAATGAGGAAAATAAAAGATGGGTAACAGGAAGTAGGGAGCCCAATCTTTCTCAAAGGGAAAGGGAACAGGACCTGGAGGAACAGGGAGGACAGGAAGAGGAAAGGAAGAAGCAATGAAACAGAGGAAGCAGAAGCTGCTGTGCACACGAACCAACCACATACGAGTACCAGAAACATTACATGTTGCCAATGTGTACAGAAAAATGAGACTATAGAGAGATGGAGGAGAAGAGATGAAAAGAATTAGGATGTGTTACATCTGCACACCAGCTCCCCACAAGGCAGGCCGGCATTAGGGCTGCAAACATGTACTAATAAAAAGCTTTAAAAGCACTGTTGTAGTTAAGAGTTGTACACAGAACAACTAGGATT